CTCCCAGCTCTATACACTGACCCTCGCCGTGTTTGTAGAGGTCAGTGATGTCCAGCCGGCTGCTGCTGCCCACAGCTTTAGTGCTGAGGTTCTGACCCACACTTCTGCTGTCTGACATGATCTTCTTCCTGGACCCGTCCGTCATCAGCAGCCAGCACACTCGATCAGCGTTGACCTCCGCAAACACAAAGGGCACGTCATACTTGACCTCTGTGTGACCCTCCAGGATAGCCATGACTGGTGCCGGACCACAGCAGTACGTGCCTGAACACACACACACACACACATACACATACTGTTAGATTTAATGGATGGACGTACGCACGGACGGATGGATAGATAGATAGATAGATAGATAGATAGGATAGCGTGTGTGTATATATACTGTATATATGTATGTACAGTATGTGTGTGTGCGCACCTGAGCTCTTCTCCTGTGGTGTAGGATCCAGCACCTGCCAGCCGTCATACAGTGTGTCCTCTGTCAGGTCGGGTCTCCTCATCCAGGCCTCCACCCACACATGGAAGTTCCTGCAGTAAAACAGTGTTAGATTAGCCTGAGGACACAGGTCAGAGGTCACAGGTCAGGGGTCAGACTCACCACACACTGTCCTGGCTGTTCTTGGGCCGAACGCCGTAATCACTGAAGTATTCATCCACCACGAGGTTACGGTCAGTGTCGTGAGCAGACTGATAGTTGGTGACCACACGACACGGGATACCCAGACACCGCAGCACTGCAGGACACACACACATTACAGAGGGCGTTCACACCATAAACACTCTAAATAATAAAGTTAAATAACTGCAAAATATTATATGAAATTAAATCAAACCTAAAACATACTGACTGATGTGTGTGTTTGTGTGTGTGTGTGTGTGTCTGCAGATTTGTGCAGTATTCATGTGTGTGCATTTTTTGTGTCTACATGTTTAAATGTGCATGTTTGTGCGTGTCTGCATGTGTGTGTTTATGTAAAGTGTTGGTGTGTTTATGAGTGTATGTGTATGTGTGTATCTTTGTGTGTGTGTTTGCATGTTTATGTCCATTTGTGTGTGTGTGTGTGTGTACCTGTGCACATGACAGCTGCAAACACCCAGCACTGGCCGTATTTGACAGGACTGCAGTTGTATTTAACCCAGCGGCGCAGAATCTCCACACTGCTGCTCCAGCGGGACGGAGGAACCCCACCGGTGTACGAGTCGCCCCACTGACCCGCCAGAACACCCTGATCATCATTACAGTTGATCTGCACACACACACACACACACACACACCTCAGTATTCCTCTGCTCAGTGTGTGTGTGTGTGTGTGTGTACGTGTACGTGTGTGTTTTACCATAGCGCTGACCACTCGGCTGACGTATACAGGGTTGCAGCGAGCTGAATAATCCTCCTGAGGGTCTTTCAGACACTTGGGGTTCAGATCCAGCAGCTTCAGGCAGATGTCCACGATGTCCTCCTCAAACTGCAGAACACATAACTCATCCTCAGTTCCATCATCACCATCATCAAAGTAACCGGCGACCTTCCGCATGGGAGTCATTTGCTCTACTAAGAAGGCTAAAGACCATAGCCTCTAGCCTCCTTGGTAGAGCAACCAACTCCCATGCGGAAGGTCGCCGGTTCAATCCCAGCTTGGAGTGGGTTGGGTGGCATAGGACCAGCGGGATTACATCATCTTCATCATGTCTTTGAGGACGTCTTGAGCATGTATCTGGACATGAGGCTATTGAGGAAGGTTTTTTGTTTCCAGGAGCTTCACTGTCTCTGTTCCTCAGCGGTGACTGATCTACAGACAGTCATTACTGCACTGGTGTCATGAGTGTGTGTGTGTGTGTTCAGGTTCTGACCTGACCGTAGTCCCAGTTCATGCTGGTGATGTATTCATCTACTCCTTTATACAGGACGCCCTGCTCACTCATGATGTACTCCTGCCGCTCCGCTTCACTCGGCAGATACACATGGTCATCTGGAGGGAGAGAACACACACACACACACACACACACACAAGTATCACTCCATACAACACAAACTTCACTAATCATTATGTTATGTGTGTGTGTGTGTGTACCTTTACACCAGGGGTTGAAGAGCAGCGTCAGTGTGTTCATACAGCTGGAGGATCCGTGCTTCACACACACAGAGTATCGCCCAACTGGAGCATCAGACGGAAACACCAGCGCCAGGCTGACGGAGGACTCAGAGCGGCTGCACACCTGAGCGGGGTTAGTGGAGCTCTGAGTGCTGAAGGAGAAGAGTGTGTGCTTCACTTCACTCACACCGGGGCCTACACACACACACACACACACACACACCAGATATTAGTTACATGTTCAGACTGAAGGCCTGTGTGTGTGTGTGTGTGTGTGTGTGTGTGTATCCATGTGTGTGTGTGTGTGTGTGTGTGTGTCTCTGTGTGTGTGTGTGTGTCTCTGTGTGTGTGTGTGTGTGTGTGTGTGTGTGTGTGTGTGTGTGTGTGTGTGTGTGTGTGTGTGT